CTAAACCCTGAACCCCAAACCCACCCTAGTATCCGATCATAATTCCTGTATCGTGACGTTTTTTGCGTTATAGCATACCTGCTGGCCCTGCTTCGAACGAGGAAGATCCCTACTTGAAGGATCATAGTAAGTAGGTTTATAACTATAAGGTAACTATACTTANNCCAATTCGGGGACTTATAACCTTACGCACAAACCCTAAACCCTAAACCCGAAACCCTTAAACCCTAAACCCTTAAACCCTAAACCCTAAACCCTAAACCCTTCAACCCTAAACCCTAAACCCTCCAAGTAAACCCTTAGCGAAAGTCCCGGGCCAGGGCTTGGAGCTTGCGAAGACCATCGCGGCCAAAAGCCCTGTGGCAACTTTGGGTGTGAAACAGCTGCTTGACGGTTTAGGGTTTAGGGTTTAAGGTTTAGGGCTTATAGGGTTTAGGGTTTAGGGCTTGGGCCTGCACAGCCCCAACATCCGTTGGGGTGCATGCTTCAGGAACACACCGCAAAACATAACAAGACATCCTATACAGTTGCAGGTATACACTTCTTCTAAAGGGCATTGGGCCATTGGGTTCTTCGAAACTTAGGTTCTTGCTAAGGAGTTCAAAATACCGCAATAAGTGCAGCAGGTCTCTGCTGCTTCCCCATCTATTCAATAACTTCAACCCTAAACCCTAAACCCAAAATATGCTTTACTGCGCGTGGGTTCCACAGACAAGGGTCCAGAAACCTCGAAACACCCTGCGATCCGGGACTTGATCCGAGACTTCGATTCAAGACGAAGCGCCCCAACATGCCAGGGTTCGGGGCATATACTTGGCAAGCTACACACCTTACCATTTTGGGCCTCCTGATTACGAAGTCCCTACATAAGGCCTTAAACAGAGGAGGTGATTTGAGTTTAAGGTAGGGTTTAGGTTTTCGGATTTCGGGTCTTAGGAAGGGTCGTAGTCCCACACTTGTAAACCGCGAAAGGAGCTCCGATAGACATTCTTGTCCGTTCGTAGGGGTTTCCGGGGCTTAGCAACCTAAACCCTAGACCCTAAACCCTAAACCCTAAACCCCAATCCCCCAAAACCTCTGCAACTGCAAATTCTTTAAACAACAAAATGGAATACACAGACCTGTCAACAATATTTTTTGCAGAGTTTAAAAACCCTTTTAAAGTAGTATCTACGCAGGCTAAGCCTCAAAGGGTTCCTATGAAGTAACTTTCGGATCAAAGTATCGACTATATGGAGGGACCCATGAGAATAGCATTTGCAAACCTCAATCACGCAGATCTCGAGGCCCTCCATAGTGTGAGGTATCTGAGATACCTCCGTTTCCCCAGCTAAAAACCCAAAGCCTCCTAAACCCTAAACCCTAAACCCAAAACCCAAAAGCCTAACCCTGAACCCTTATTGAGCTCGCTGGTTTATTCCTGCGGGTCAGGTTCCTCAACTACGCGCGGGACCACTCCGTGGAGGTTGCGTGCTGAGTAGGGCTCAGGCTTTACAGGGTTTAGGGTTTAGGGTTTAGGGGTCTAAGTACCTAATAATCATATACTCTCCCAAATAGTGACCTACATAATTACTATCCGAAACCTAAGTGCCTGATTATTTGGTCGTTTGGACCCTTGGGGTCAGGGTGGGTTGGGGTTGGGGGGTCTCAGAGGGGGCTGGGAGCTAATTAGGCGTTGATTAATTACTCGGTTTAGGGCAATTTATTTAGGGTTCATGGCTTGCGGGTCAGGGGTCAAGGGTTTCGGCTTGGAGGCAAGTTTTAGAGACTTTGGAATTCTGCTGACGTTTTATTTGGAGTTTTGTGGAGGCGGGCTTGGAAACTTTATGATGTTTGCTCTGGAGCTCTGGGTGTACCGGGATTGGAGGTTCAACTTGCTACCATTCTCTCTGTTGCCCTTTTGGGAAGTATCGTGAGGAAACTAGTGAGCTTAGACCCTAAACCCTAAACCGTCGTGGGGGAATTAGCGAGCTTAGGTGTTTGGTCTTGGAAGTCTTTTGGGACCCTAAACCCTAAACCCTAAGCCCTAAACCCTAAACCCTATACCCTAAACCCTAAACCCGAAACCCTAAACCCTAAGCCCTAACCCTAAACCCTATACCCTAAACCCTAAACCCGAAACCCTAAACCCTAAGCCCTAACCCGAAACCCTAAACCCTAAACCCTAAACCCTAAACCCTAACCGTAAACCCGAAACCCTGAACCCTAAGCCCTAACCCTAAACCCTAAACCCTAAACCCTAAACCCGAAACCCTAAACCCTATAAACCCTATTTTGGGACGGCAACGCTGTGGGACCGCAGAGCTGCCCCATGTGGTAGGCAGCACTGGCAGCAGCGCAGCTCTTGCCGTGGCAGCAGGTACCCATAGGCCCCAGGTACCTAATATAAAGGGCCCTACCTTCAACTACCATAACCTACTTTTTTGTAGGTCCTTATTATACACCCTAATATAGACTTTATAGGTAGGTTTTGGTAGCTTAAGGTAGGGTCTCTAGTACCCTATATAGTAGGTGTTTCAGCGCCGAAGAATTTGAACCCTAATCCCAACCCATCGGCCCCATAGTAGGTCCTTTTTGGGGGGGTTACCTTATAGGATGCTAAATATGAACCCCAAAAAGGAACCCCCAGGTACCCACTAGAAAGGGGCCTAGGGTCTCTAGTACCCTATATAGTAGGTATCTGGGAGGTTAGGATTGCTGGTGCATGCAGCTCCTAAAAAAAGACCTGTCTACACCACCAAAATCTGTCTATATTGCGGAGATTTCCACGCCGGCCGTGGCAAGCCAAAGTGCGGACACTGCAGCTGGAAAAGACGTGACCTCAACACCGAGCATCGAACAAAATGCCCAAGCCCGAAACCCAAACTCTAATCAAATCTCTGACTCAAAGCCTTACAAACCCTACTGTAAAACTTATTGAATATAGGGGCCTTCATTACCAGTTCTATTTTGGGGGCTCCTTCTCATAATTATAGTAAAATATAACCCAAAACCCTATTCTCACTATTAAGGCCCCTA